GACATCAGATCTGGCTGCCACCACCTCCCGAGCACTCCACGATCCTCTGGCCTCTTTCAGTGCCGGCGAGAACATGTCATGCATGGGGCATGACAGGATCATGCGCGTTATTGTCATTTGAGGAGTGATAGAAAACAGACAGGCTGCCAAGCATGTAATAAGCAATTCGAGGTGCTCCGTCGGACCCCACTCGACTGTCAAGGTTGCGTTTAGCTACTGCTGCCACTATTCCCATATCCTGAGATGGGGTGTTTGTCATTATTTAGACGCCTCTGGACCTCCTCCTTCCTCCTCCCTTCTCCTCTTCCCCACTCAGACTCAATCACACTAGACTCAAACTGACTCATACCCATACTCACTCATACTCAGACTCAATCGTACTCATATTCGCCCACACTCAGCCTCACTCACACTCAGACTCATTCATACTCAGACTCACTCATACTCAGACTCATTCTCACTCAGAATCACTTACACTCGGACTCACTCGCACTCATAATCAATCGCACTCGGACTCACTCATAATCACTCGCACTTAGACTCACTCATCACACTCACACACGCTCAAACTCAGACTCACTCGTACTCAGGCTCACTCATACTCAGACTCGCGAGGCGCTGGTTTCAGCATTCCCAGAGGGGAGCCGCCAGGGTGCGGGGTTGTTGAGCGGTTCGCTGATTTGCGTGAGAAACATCCTTTGCTTCCAGAAGAGACTGAGAAGATGCCTCGAACGATGTGCTAGTTTTCAGCACTCCAAGGGGGAGCCGCCCGGTGTTTTCACGGGCGCGTCCGCGCTCACACTGCGGGGATGTCTCGAGCGGATTGCTGCCTGTTTGTGTGCGCAACGTCCTCTGCTTTCGGAGCAGAATGTGAGGATGTCTCGAACGAAGCGCTGGTTTCATCACTTCAAGTTGGAGCCGCCCGGGTGTTTTCACGGGCCCGTCCGCGCTCGCACTGCGGGGACGTCTCGAGCGGCGATTGCCTGCTTGGGTGCGCAACATCCTCTGCTTCAAAACAGATTGAGGATGTCTCGAGCAGAGCGCTGGAATCAGCACTTAAAAGGGGAGCCGCCAGAGTGTTTTCACGGACCCGTTCGCGCTCAGATTGCGGGGATGTCTCGAGCACCCCTTAAGAATACCGCCAGGGGTGTCTTCACGGAGGGGTGTGGAAGAAGAGGAGGAGGAGGAGGAGGAGGAGAAGGAGAAGGAGGAGGAGGAAGAGGAGGAGGAGGAGGAGGAGGAGGAGGAGGAGGAGGAGGAGGAGGAGGAGGATAAGGAGGGGAGGAGGAGAGGAGGAGGGGAGGAGGAGAGAAGGAGGAGGATGAGGAGGAGGGCGGATGATGATGATGATGATGATGATGATGATGATGATGATGATGATGATGATGATGATGAGGATGAGGAGGAGGAGGAATGGCAGGAGCAGGAGTGGGGTCGAAGTAGTGGAAGGCGATGGTCGCGTCAGCGCGCTCCTTCTCGTCTTAACCGACCCTGCGGGTCCTTCCTGCTGGTTCGAGCCTCGCCCTGACGTCCGCCTGGTATATGAGGGCCCCAACAATGTCGTTCATCATCTTTCGTGAAAGCCTCGCAAGGGCTTCCCGTATGCATCAATTCTCGCGGGATTGATCTGACCGAACATCATTCATCCGACTTTGAGTGCTGCGTAGCACGCCCGCCACTCCTCGAAGCACGCAGGCCCCGTGAGCTCAATCGACGTGACTTCGCCCGTCGGTGCAATCTTCGCGCCGCGAAGTCATGTGCGCCCCCCGAGCAGCCATGTCCGTTTACGGAGCTCCTCCCAACTGGAAGGTTTGCCGCATTGTCGAGGGCTGTTCCTTGCTCAGCTCCTCCTCTGCGGGCGGGGAAGCACCTATCCTTTTGTAATGCTTCTTGTGTGCGGCCCTGATGACGGTGTCGCCGCTGACTTTTGACTTGCCGCCGCTGCCTGTGCCCGTGCTGCCTCCGCTGCTGCTGATGGTTGTGTGCTAACTGTAGCTCTGTGTGCCCTCTCAGATAGCCCAACTTGGCCCACTTGTGCCAGAGTTCGGTCCAATAGTGGGGCATCTTGACCAGATGCTGGAGGGGCGCCCTGGATCTTTCAAGCTGCAACGATCGCGCTGTAGTCGTCGGGCATAAGGTTGCCGATTATGCGAAGGTGTTCTGTCCAGTTCACGCCGGGTACCTGGTATAATGAGGTCTTCGGCGTGGTCAGCTCGCTCGTCGCGCCAGCGATGCCCGTCCAGTTCGCGACGTCGTCGATCGTCGCGAGCGTGGCCTGCTCCGTCGGTGTGGGATCAATCGAAGTCATCCCTCGAATCGCACTCGAAAGTCAGACGGGAGAAGCAAGCTGGTCGGGCTGGTGGCACGAAGGGGGCTGAACTTGTCGGTACAACACCCACACGCGCACACGATCACCGTGCAGATGAGGAAGGCCATGACGATCGCTCTAAGCAAGTCGATCGTCGAGAGCCCGTCGCTCCCCTGCTCGATGATGGGCCCCTGGCATGCGCCGAAGAAGGAGCGCCAGGGCACACAGGGGGCCCTCGAGAGGGGGGGACCCAGGAGGCCCCGAAGAGGCCCAAATCCTTCCAAAACCTGAGTAAAATCAATGCTTTTGGCTTTCTCGCCTTTTCGTTTCCGATGGCCATCCGAAGCCTCAAGATGGCTCCAAGATGGCCCAAGAGGGCTCCAAGAGCGCTCCCAAGGCTCCCAAGAGCGCTTCAAGAGGGCCCCAAGAGGCACCCAGGAGGCCCCAGGAGGCCCCAACAGGCGCCCAAGATGCCTCCTAGAGGCTCCCAAGAGACCCCCGCGTCTAGACTTGCCTGCTATGTGCAGGCCCGCCAGACGCTATGATGGCCACCCCGCCGGGATTGCGCACTGGTTTTCGATAAGGGTGTTGGGGGCCGACGCGCTTCCCGATGTGTACGGCCACGTGCGCAGGCGGACCCTGCACACTCTGCTCGTGCCCCGAACGTGGCGCACCTGGCGCGGCTGGAGCATGTGGCACACATGGCGCACGTGGATCATGTGGCGCATCTGGCGCACAAGGCGTGCCCAACACAGGAGTGCCTGGCGCACCCGGCGCGCGTGGCGCGCCTGGCGCACCTCGCCACGGCGTTGCGCACGTTGGGTCCGTTTTGGTTCCCGTCAACTGTCCATCTGGATACTACCGCTGAAAACACTGCGGCCCGTGCGCTACTTCTATGTTGGGCGGGCGGGTGGGAATGAGCGAGACGTCTTGCGGGCGGGGAGGTTGCCTTGCCCCTTTCCCCCTACACCCTCTCCCTGGACGGGGGGTTTCGCGACACATTGGAGCGTCCAAAACGGCCTCGGCGAGAAAGCACACATTCTTTACTTTACTCAGGTTTTGAAGCCATTTGTCCTACTGGGGGGGTGGGGGGGGCCGAATGTGGGACCCCCCTTCTTTGATCGACCTCTTCCAAGATGGCCCCAACATGGGCCCAAACTCTTCCAACAGTTCCCCAAGAGGGCCCCTAGAGGCTCCCAAGAGACTCCACTGAGGCCCCAAGAGGCTCCCCCGAGGCACCCAAGACGCTTTAATTCTACTTTTAAAAACACGTTGGAGCGCCAAGAGGCCCCTAAGACGCCCCAGAGAGACACCAAGAAGCTCTCAACAGACATCGAAAGTCCGAGAGGCATCCGAGAGGCCTCTGGCCTTTCTGCTCCTCCTCCTCGTCCTTCTCCTCCTCCTCCCGCTTCTCTTCCTTCTCCTCCACCTCCTCCTCCTCCCTTCTTCCTCCTCTTCCTCATCCGCGTATTCCTCCTCTTCCCCCTCCCCCTCCTCCTCTTTCCTCTTTCTCCTCCTCCATCCTCCCCATCTGAGGGAATGACGGCTTCTACAGCACTTCATTCCACTGCCTGCTCCTCCACATCCCTGATCAGGACAACTCGCCTGGGCATCTTTTCTGGATGGGTTGGTGGGGTTACTTTTTTTGTCGCGTCCGCTAGCGAAGGCGCTAGCGGAGTCAGAAGCGCTACGGGTCACGACAACGGCCTAATTAGCAGCTAAACGCGCCGCGAGCCGGCCGGCCCACTCATCCAGCAGCGGCTGACTGCGCGGGGGGAGCGGCAAACTGAGGGCGTCCAGGGTGCTCGAGCACTTGCAACATGGCAAAATGCGAGTGAATTCAAGATGTGCCGAGTGGCAAGACCCAAACGGAGCGTGAGGGTTGGTGGGGTTACTTTTTTGGTTCGCGGCTCCAAGGCGAGGGACATGGAGCGAGCACAACGTCCGGGGCGCGGTACGTAGATAATTGGCTCGAGATTGCCGCGGATTCCAGCGGACAACACACGCAGCGCATGTTGGTGGGGTTACGCGAGGCGTCTAGAATTTTACCTCCGCCGACTTCTGCCAACCTCCCCTGTCGGGCGCGGCCTAACCGACAAATGCCATGACCAACACCTTCCGTGACGTCACCCTCGCCTTCCAAACTTCCCTGCGGCCGCATACACACGTCATCACTCCTGGCACGCACTTGTGGAACCGATTACGCAAGAAAAACAATGACAACATATGCAAATCTTCAAGGGCAACCACCCCTTGGAATCAACGACATCTCGGCTAAACCGCTAACCCTCCGCCTGCGAGCTTTTGCAACGGCCGAAACTTGATAGACTAACCGCGCGATCTGTTTTGACAAAAAATTCAGCACGTCTTGGGGCGAGGTGTGGGGGACTTCACGGAAGGGGATGGTTTGCTAGGGGTCCGTTAGGCTGCCCCTGACCCTGGGGGTGAGAGGAGGAGGGGGATGAGCAGGAGGAGGAGGAGGACGAGGAGGATGAGGAGGAGGAGGGGCAGGAGGAGGAGGAGGAGGAAGAGGAGGGAGAGGAGGAGGAGGAGGAGGAGGAGGAGGAAGAGGAGGAGGAGGAGGAGGAGAGCCTATGTCTCCGGAGTGCGAGGCCCTTGTCTGGAGCGCCGTGCACGGCAAGACCCCTGGACGTCGTGCGGGGAGCTTCCTCGAGGGCGGGGCCATCCGCGCCTCGGCCGCCTCGGCAGCGAACACCTCCCTTATGCCGAGGCCCGCGTGCTCCTGACGCGTGTCGGCTCAAGGCGCTGAGGACGAGGAGCAGGAAACGAAGGGGAGGGATGAGGAGGAGGAGGCGGAGGAGGAGAAGGAGAAGGCAGAAATAAGGAGGAGGCACGGATGAGGATGAGGATGAGGATGACGAGGAGGATTACCAAGCGCGCTATAGGCTTAAAGGGTATCAAAACCCATCTTTAAGGATGAGGCGGCCATCAACGAATTACTGGTGACTGTGCGACTGCGCGAAATACAGAATCTAATTGTTGGCCGACCACACACCACATCCTCAAAGTCGGAGGTACTGCAGAAATCTATCGGCCCCCTGCTGACACCGCGGGGGGCCATGGATAGGATGCCAAATCCTTCGACGGGGATTTGGAAATCACATCCTCTCTGATCAAGCGATTTGGGGCTCCACTGTCGAAGAATACTCCCTCGGGCGCGACACTTTGATTTGTGACATTTTCGTTGCGTCACAACTTTAGGTGCGATCTGGTCCATCTCCCCTTTGAGAAGCCGACCTCGGATTTTGGCTCTTCCGGCCTATCCTGTGTGGGTGTGTGTCTGCCCATCTGCTATCCCACGGCAATGGGAGTAAGAAGCCCTCTACACGTGCAAAACGGCCAACCGCAACACGAATGACAATATCACGGAGTTGGTACGTCACGGACTTGGTCCAAGACAGCGCTCCGTAACCTGTGATCTTAACGTCACGGAGAAGGTGCGTCACGGACTCGGTGCGCCACCGACGCCGTCACCGCACCAGGCACGCAGCGTGAAGCAACGGGCTCAACTCTATGGCGATGCACCCAGGCCCTCTAAGCCGACTTCAACGATAGACATTCAGCCCGTCGCCTCAGAGGCCGACCTCGGGTGCACCTTCCTCTGGCGGCAACTGCCTGCCCTCACCCTCAGCCCTCGCAGCGACACCTGCTGTGTACAGGAGGAAGGGAGGGAGGGAGGGAGGGAAGCAAAAGGGAGAGGAGCGGGGGACAGAACGAGTGATAGGGGTGAAAGCGAGGCGTGTGTGAGGGTGTGTCTGCAAAGCTTTGCCCGACCAAGCCGCATGCATTCCCCAAGAAGGCACCGAGGGACCATTCTGAAGTGAATTGGTTTCGTCACGATTTCGGCCGCGGTCGCTGGACACGTTGTGACCCCGTGCAGTACTTCCAGCAGCCTGTGGATCTACTCGTCCGCGGGGTGCTTGGTGCAAGCCTCCATATTCTGAATCCACATCGGGCCCACCAGCGGGCGCAAAATGGGTACAGCCCCCGTGGCTCGGGGATGGTCACCGCGAGGGAGCCGAGCCCAAGTCGGGCCCGCCAGCGGGCCTGAAATGGGTTCCGCCCTTCTGGCTCTGCAGATGGCCCAGTACACCCAAAATACACCCTCACACGACAACAATCCATTCGTGCGCATCGACATCTCGCGCCCCACTGTGATCGGCCACGCAGCTGGGACAGACGCAGTACCACATATCAGAACCGCGCACGCTTGGATTCTAGCTTGAATCGCTGCCGAGGGGCGGACGAATCCTGCCTCCCGAGCAAGGCGCGCGCGCGCTTCGGTTCTAGTTTGTTGCGTTCCTGGGGGACCACCAGACGTCGATGTACCACTGGATTTCCTCCACGTGCATTCCTGCACCAAGTTTACATCGCGCACTATAACGAGGGGGGGAGCCTTGAGGCTCGAGATGTCCCCCCAATTGAACAGGGGCTTGGGGTGTCCATAGGTCCCTCCATGGTCGAGTCTGGCGCCCCCCCGGGGGCTGCGTTGGCGCTCATGCCGAGGATGGGCTGGCATCCCCCAAGCTGCGCCGCACGCACCGCCCACGCATGCGCGAATGCCCGTCGCCGCCGAAGATGGGCAGACGGCGGCGCGCAAGCCCGAGTCCCCAGGGCCACCTATGCAAAAGAGACGGAACAAAATATGGATGGGGGTGCAAACACTGAAAGGGCCGCTGGTGTAGATCCGGGGCGCTGCTCCCGCATTCTGGTGGGACGCGGCGCAAGGGCGAACTGTACTTTCTCAGGAGGGGGCCGGCACAAAAAGGTCTAGGAAGGTGGGGGTAAGACCGGGCACCGCGTGCCCACGGTAACGTCTGACTCTTCTGCCACCGCCAACTCCCCCAGCCGAATCCTGTGCCCAATCCTGGGAGTATCGCTGGGAGTTCGAACGGCAGGAAGAGAAGGCCCAGGTGACAATGTCACCCAGAGAGCTGGTCACGAGCACGCACGCGCAACCGCATGCCTCGTGTCCCGTTCCCAGTGTCGCGCGCGCTCGGCAAAAGCATCACGTACGTATGAACATGTAGATTGTGGCCACGGCGAATGTGCAGTCGTGTGCTTCTGTGCTCGGTGTGCTGGCCGTGGTCGGGGTGTGCGGGCGCGGCATCGTATTCCACGTGTGTATGCGCCCAAACGCGCGATCACACCAACAAACGTACCCATGCATGTGTATCGTTTCCTAACCAGTGCTTTCGCTGAGGGGGTGAAGCCGGATACCGATGCGATATTTCCCCTGTGAATGAGCCAGCCATCCGCTGATTAGGGCTTGTCTCTGGTGTAGTCTGAGTGCTGAGCACGCATGCCCAACAGACGGGCCACGTGCCGAACACAATGTACCCCGAAATGGTTCCGAGACCACGAGACCTGCACACATGCTTGGCACACGGTCTCGGCTCAGACTTCGAGCACAGAATGGAGCACACGGGCAGAACACGTACACCGAACGCCCGTCCCGGGCACGCATTCACATCAGGCGCACCGAACACACACATGCCGAACGCACGTAGTGAGCAACCGCGCCGAGCACAGAGCAGGAGGATGAGGAGGAGCAAGAGGAGGAGGAAGAAGAGGAGGAGGAGGAGATCGGCGGAAGATCTGGGGTGAGCCAGGGGAGGAGGCGAGAGGATCCGGGGGGAGCCTCCCCAGTGGGTTGCAAGTGTAACGACTGACCCCAAGACGGCCCAAGAGGCCCCAAGATGCGGCCCAAGAGGGTTCCAAGAGGACCTGCAGGAGGGCCCGAACAAGTACAACACATTCAACTCCTTGAAGCAATTTCTCGCCTTTTCGGGCGTCTGTCAGCCCAAGACTGCCCGAGAGGCCTCCAAGATGGCCTGGGACGGCCCAGGAGGCTCCCAAGAGGGCCCAAAGACGGCCCAAGATGCACTCGACATGACCTGAGGAGTCTCCAAGACGGCCCCACGACGGCCCAAAAGACCGCCAAGACGACCCTGCAAGGCCCCCAAGGTGGCCTCGAGAGGCACCCAACACGGAATGCGAAGGCGCCAGGCTGCCCAAAAGCGCCCCCAAGAGGCCTCCCAAAGGCCTCCCTAAGGCCTGAAGATAAGGAGGAGGCGGGGGGGAGGAGGAGGAGGAGGAGGAGGAGGAGGAGGAGGAGGAGGAGGAGGAGGAGGAGGAGGAGGAGGAGGAGGAGGAGGAGGAGGAGAAGGAGGAGAAGGAGGAGGAGGAGGAGGAGGAGGAGGAGGAGCAGGAGCAGGAGCAGGAGGAGGAGGAGGAGGAGGAGGAGGGAAGACTCGGAAAAGAAGAAGACGACCACGAACGCTAGGAGAGACCTCCCGACGCGAGCCGTGCCACCTGTCGCGGCTCTCCCAGGCCTCGGAACACGAGGTGTCACGCGTGACAGCCCCCCTTGTGCGCTCCTCGAACGGTCGCCACCCGGAGTGCTGAGCTGGCCAGGCGGTGTGACCCGTCGCAAGCAACTGTGACCTATTCCGATTTCTTGGGGAGCCCGGCGGGGGCCCTGGATCAATGATCGATCCTGGGAATTTCGATACCGACAGTCAACATACATGATAAACAGCGTGGGCCCCAAACAACGAAGTCCTATATTTTTTCGATGCAGCCCAGGCGCTGCAATCACTGTGGTGCAATATAGGTGGTGCAATTCATGTGGTGCAATCTATGTGCTTCAAAGCACTGCAAAGCAACGCAGCTCAATTCAAACCATGCAACGCCATGCAGATCAGCGCGCAAAGCAATGCAGCGCAATGAAGCTCAATGCACAACAATGCAAAGCAATGCATCGCAATACAAATCAATGTACGTATTGTAAACGACAATAACGCAAAGCAATGCGAACTAACGCAACGCAATGCGAAACGACGCAACGCAAAGCAATGCGGAGCGGGAAGCGACGAGGCGGCGGGCGGCGACGGGCGGCGACGAAGAGGCGACATGGCGGCCAGAGAAGCCGCAGGCCCAAGCGATGGGCCGCGACGATGAGGCGACATGGCGGTCAGAGCGGCCCACAGGCCTAGTTCCCGAGCCGAGAAATAAGAACTCCAAAATGCAAACGCTGTTTTAGGAAACTCTCCAAGCGTTTCACACACGCGCCAGCTCCCCCGGAAATTTACATTGCCGCCACGGGGTGCATTATGCTCTCGTGGCTGCCGTCGACGACGAGACCGCAGGCGCAAAGACAAAGCGCACATCTCGCGAAACGTGCACCCGTTCAGATCCTAGATAAGCTTCTTCATGACTGCTTGATGGGGGAGCCAGGAGAATCCTTTTCGAAGATTTTAGTCGTTCCTTCGTTTCCTGCCCTTGCTCCCTGGTTCGCTCCCTCGGTGTCTGGTGCGTTCCCCTTTCCTTGAACGCTGGTGTATGCCCCAAATCATTCGGCAATGGACTGGGAGATACCGATCTGATATGGTATGCCGTGGCCTTTCGTTTCTCGGACTCGTTCCCCAATTCGTTCCCGTGGTCCCTGGTGCGTTCCTTCGTTCACTCGTTCCCTGGGTTTTGGGCTGATGTGGGACGGAAAATCTGGAATTCATGCTCTCTTCATACTACTCTCATCCACTGGCCTCGCCCCCCATCCTGATTCCGCTCTTGCGTTATGCAAGCGTTCCTTCGTGCACCATGGGATACTTTGAAATGTACTGTTTGTCGTCTCTCTGCAGGTGTCAGTTGTCATGGTGCAGAGGGGACGTTCGACAGAATGGGGCAGCCACAGTGTGAGCGGACAGGAGCCGTGCGCCCTGCGAGATGCCCGGGTTTGCGTGTCCCGCAACATGCTGCAGACCGCGCACGGACTTCCCTGATTGATCAGATCACTGAGGAGTACGGGGAGGATGATGAGGACAGAAACGAGGATGTGATGAGGATGACAAGAAGAAGGAGAAGGAGGAGGATGAGGAGGAGGAAGAGTAGGAGAAGGAGAAAGAGGAATAAGAATAATATTATGTGCTCAAGAACGATCAAGGTTACTGAACAATCTTGAGAAGTCCAGGAACATTCATGGCCCGGAAACTTCATTCTGGTTAGACTGCGTAACGTCACGTCGCTGTGCCACCGCCCCGGAATACGGAATGGACGCAACAACGACGGTACTCGAATACACCGTTCGATTGTTCCCCCTTCTGGAAAATTGATGAAAAGGTCCTCGGCAGCAGGGGCAACGCGTACCATTATGCCAGTTCCCTGGCTAGCGTATGGGAAAGGGCCCTGCGTGACTTCAGAGGACAAGCAGCGGTCTAATCTGACTCCTTCGGTGGCCCATGGGTCGGTGGCCAGATTGACCTTCGGCTGCCCATGAATGATGAGGGGCCTCCGGTAGTTCGGTGGCCCCTTGTGCAGTGGTCCGAGGACCGATGGCCCGCGGTACTTCGGCGGCCCGTGCTTCGAGGCTCACGATTTGTTTGGCTCCATGGGTCGGCAGCCGGGGGGTCGGTGTCCCGTGGGTCCCCGTCCCGTGGGTCGGTGGCCCATGCGTCGGTGGGCCGCGGGCCTGGGTATTCGGAGCGGTGGCCAGTGGGTCAGTGCCCCATGTTGCCCGTCGGTTGGAAGGCTGTGTAGCGATGGCCCATGTGCCGATGGCACGTAGGTCAGTGGCCAGCAGTTGAATGGCTTCGTGGACTCCAATTTCGGCGGCACGTGGGACGATTCAAAGATCCGCTTGCGTGGCCTTGGCAGGCCAAGAAGCGCAGCCCAAGTCGCCCTAGTATCCCAAGAAGCGCGGCCCAAATCGCACACGCAACTACCCCAGGAATAGTATGCAGCCCACGTAGCGTTGCCAGGGAATTCCAGGCAGCCCATGCAGCGTAGCCCACATGGCCCAGGCAGCTCAGCCAACCCTATCCCACCTAGCCCAGATGGCCGAGGTAGCGTAGCCCAAGTAACATAAGCCACATAACCCAGGTAGCCCAAGCAGCTCAACCAGCGTAGCCCCAGCAGTGTAGCTTGGCTGGCGCAGGAAGCGTAGCCGATGTATCCCTGGAGCCATAACCAAGATATCGGAGCCCAGGTTGCCCACATCGCCCGCGAGCCGTAGCGACGGTAGCGTAGCCCGAGCAACATATCAACGTGGCACGCCCAATGTGTGCGGCGCAGGTAGCACGGCACAGGTGGCACATGAAACTCACGTAGCGTGGCCTGGCCAGTACTGCCCACGCGGCCTACGTAGGCCAGGATGTGCATCCCAGGTAGCGTAGCCCACGCATCCCAGGAAGCCTGGGAGTCGTCGCCCACGTAGCCGAAGTAGCGCAAGCAGCGTAGCTATGCGTAGCCCAGGGAGCGTTGCACTCGTGGCAAAGCCTGGGGAGCGTAACATGGCCCAGGGGCCAGGCAGTGCACGATAGTGCGTGGTCCAGGTTGCCCAATCATGCAGGACGGAGGAGGAGCAAAAGAAGAGGAGGAATGATGATGATGGTGCTGCTGCTGATGATGCTGATTATGATGGTGATGATGATGCTGATGATGCTGCTGCTGATGATGATGCTGGTGCTGCTGCTGATGATGCTGATGATGATGCTGCTGCTGATGATGATGCTGCTACTGATGATGATAATGAAGAGGGGGGCGAGCGCGGAGGTGGACAAGCGAGGATGAGGGGGACGCGAAGTGCACTACCACCCTCCACGACGCCGCGAGGAATCACGATCACAACCGTCGATCCCAAGTTCGTGCGTGACCCTTCGACCTGGACGAGCCGCCAAGGCCCGAAACAGAGCAATCAAGTCGTCGTGGACCTTTCACAGCGCCTGGGCGTGCAGATATGGGGGCAAGCGCGGAATCTGTGGGCGCAAATCTGGGCTCTCACCTCCCACGCCCAGATCTCCTGGCCCCCCCCCCCCAAAAGGCGTCCTGTCTCTGTCTGACACGCGGTCTGGTCTGACCGCCCCCCGGAGGCTCCCCCATCTTCCTGTGGAGGTCTCGACCTTGTGGATGTGTGTTCTTGCCTGTATTCTGCAAGCTTTTCTTCGGAGTTTCTGGTTTCGGAGCCTCTGGGGACATCGACGACCGCTGGCGTTCGGTTTGATTGAATGGAGGACGACAGAAGGTGGGGATGGTTTCCAAACCAGGAGAACGGTTCTTGATGGACCTCTGACGTCATTGGAGAACGGTTCATAGATGGACCTCTGACCTGAACCTCCGCTATTGATATGGAGGTTCTTGGAAGTCCTGGAGCCTTTACCTGGACCTCTGACGTCATCGCGTGGGGCTCTGGAAATTTCGACCCCAACACTCGTTCTGGTGCCGCGCCGTGTACTTCTTCTTGTGGGTCGCGGGATTCGGAACGGGCCTCGGGAAGCCCAAACTCGAAAACACAAGCCGCCGATTAGTTTTCTTAGAATTGCCTGGGGTAGAACCGGATGCGCTGGTCGAACAGCCCCATGAAGGATGACCTCCGCGACCGTTGTTGGGCGGTCCTGCACCCGGTGCGCTTACGACTGAGGTACTCAAGTCTACTACATAAAGCAACCAACATACGATTGAACTGCGCACCCACCAGCTCAAGAAGAGCTCAGGTATTACACAATTCATCCCTGCATGTGTAGAGGCCTCCCAGATGGGGTCGGAGGACCGCGCCGCATCGCCGATGCACCGTCGATGCATTGGCGATGTCGGCGATGCATCGACGACGTCGTGACGTTGGCGTGGAGAAACAACATCGGTCTCCACATCGAGCCGCATCGCCGATGCATCGGGGGGAGGAGGAGGAGCAAGATGAGGAGGAGAAGAAGGGGGAGGAGGAGGAGGGAAGACTAGGAAAGGAAGAAAACGAAGACGAACACGAGGAGAGCCATCCCGCCACGACGCGGAAAGACGAGCAGGAGGAGGAGGAGGAGGAGGAGGAGGAGGAGGAGGAGGAGGAGGAGGAGGAGGAGGAGGAGGAGGAGGAGGGGAGGAGGAGGAGGAGGAGGAGGAGGAGGAGGAGGAGGCTGAGGAGGAGGAGGAGGAGAGGAGGAGGAGGAGGAGGAGGAGGAGGAGGAGGAGGAGGAGAGAGGAGGAGGAGGAGGAGAGGAGGAGGAGGAGAGGAGGAGGAGGAGGAGGAGGAGGAGGAGGAGAGGAGGGGAGGAGGAGGAGTAGGAGGAGGAGGAGGAGGTGGAGGAGGAGGAGAGGAGGAGAGAGGAGGAGGAAGAGGAGGAGGAGGAGGAGGATGATGATGATGATGATGATGATGATGAGGAGGAGGAGGAGGAGGAGGAAGAGGTGGAAGACAAGGAAGACAATGAGGAGGAGAAGGATGAGGCGGAGGAGGAGGAGCAGGAGGAGGAAGAGCAGGAGGAGGAGGAGGAGGAGGAGGAGGAGGAGGAGGAGGGGGAGGAGGAGGAGGAGAGGAGGAGGCCTGGAATGTGGGCCGTTCCCGGCCGGCTGGCGCTCCTGCCACTTCGCGGCAGTGGCGCACCCGAACGTGTGGCCCCGGACGCCGAAGGGCCACCGGTAGCCCCGGCGGCGCTGCTCGCCAGGGTGCCAGGCCTGGGGGTTGCGGGCGGGCGGGCGCGGGCGACGTCGACTGACCACTGGAGGCCTCCCAGATGGGGTCGCAGTGGACGGGGTCGGAGAGGATCGCGCCGACGTCGCCGATGCATCACCGATGCATCGGCGGTGCATCGGCGACGTCGGCGATACATCGGCGACGCCGGCGTGGAGAAAGTCGTTCTCCACATCGAGCCGCATCGCCGATACCAGGGCGATGCGGCACGCTCCTCAGACCCTATCTGCCCGGACCCCATCTGGGAGACCGAGAACCACCTCACCGTTTCTGGCTGGGCCCATCCTGGGTTCAGGATCGGTGTCCAGGTCCTCCTGGCTTGGCCAGGGGGTCGCAAACACCGATCCTGGGCCCAGGATCGCCGGGCCAAGATCGGTGAGGTGGTCAGGGCAGGAAGGCCTGGACACCGATCCTGGGCCCAGGATGGGCCTGGTCGGGATCGAAGCGGTGGTCAATTGACGACCTTCTGCTAGATCCAGGGCGGAAGGGCTAGGCGCGCCAGCAGCAAGGTCCGTACGCCGCCACCGATCGCCCTGCACCACCCGCGCGCGCGCGCCGCCCGTCGAAGTCACGTGATCGCCTCGGCCCAGGACCCGGGGACAGCAAAAGCAAGCCGGCTGCACACCTGGCCCGCCCGCCATGGGGCGGCGCCCCTCGCGCGAGGCGGCCGTGCCGAGCTCCAACGCTGCGCTGGGCCCCATCAGCCCTTCTGCCTGCCAGCGAAGGATGGCGCCCGTCCTTACTCGGCCCCACCTACCACACGCCAGCCAGGGGGGATCGCTCCCCTGACCCTGTTTCGCTGCCGCCTCGCCCGCTCGCTGCTGGGCCCCCCTCCGCGGCCACCCGCCGCCTATCCGCGTCGCCCCCCCCCCCCCCCCCGCGCCTCGGAAGCCCAGGCATGGGGGCCCTGGTCGGCCAGCACCCGCGGGGACGAGGCCGTCCGCCCAAGCCCGATCCTGCACATTGGCGCCATACGGGCCAAGGGTGCCCCCCATGTCGCATGAGGCTAACGCGCGCTGGCGGGCATGGTACCATGAGTACAGGCCCATCCTGCTGGGAGAGACGCACGTCGATCCCAAGCTCTGCACGACCAGGCAACTCACCACCTTCCTCGAGAACGTCCTTATGGCGTGGCCGCTGGCCGCTAAGAATGAGGCACCGGGGCCCTCAGAAACGCGCCCTTTGCGCTCACACTGGATGGCTATGAAGAGACTGCCTATTCCCTACGGCGCAGACTGCCTCATGTTCCATCTGCGCTCGCAGTGAGGCGCACCCCCTCCGCGGCACTCGCCACTGCCGCGACCAGGCCAGCTTTGCACACGCATCGGCAGGTGGCTCCTCCTGCCGCACCGCGCGACGCGCTGGCGGTCCTCGGGCGGGAGGGAGGATCTCCCCGCCCTTGACCAGTACTGGCCCATGCCGCGCAGGAGCTCCTCCGTCGGGTGCGCACTCCTGCGCCTTTTCGCGGTGGTGAGGGGCAACGATAGGGGGGGACTGGCGTAGGGGGATGCATCGACCTGCAATCGGCGATGCATTGCCGATGGATCGGCGATAGGCCTCCGATAGTGAATCCGCACCTTCCTGGGCAAATTGGGGCTGTCGGGCCCCTATCGGCGATCAATTGGCGATTGGGTGTCGATGCATCCCCCCCTATGCCTATCCCCCCCTGTCGTTGCCCCTGAGGTGGCCCCCACACCCCGTCCATCGAACGCCTGACCCGGTCCGAGGAGGCCCCAATCTGCCGGTGGGACGCGGGGCCCCTCCTGAGGCCTGCACCTCGCTCGGGTGGCCACGCCGCCCCCCCCCCCTCCCCTTCCAGAGGCTCGGGGGTGGTGCCGCGGGCTGGACACCTGGTGCGGTGGGCCTCGCCCGCCGGGGCGCTCTGGCGCCCTGCGCTCCCTCTCGCCATGCGCGCAGCTCCAGCGGCGCATTGCCGCTGGCAGTGTGGGCGTCGGCGCGCTCCGCTCGACCCAGGCCCGGGCGCACGCCCGCTCGTGGGCAGAGGGTCTCCCCCCCTCCCCGAGGGCTGCTCTGGAGACGGCCTGGCGGCCGCGGTGGTCTGCGGTTTCCGCCGCATCCAGGACGAAGCCTTTGCCCACCCTGCCTTCCCACCGTTCGGGCCCCCTGCCTCCGCCCCGTTTGGGTGGATGCGCCGACTGCTCCCATGTCCTCGCAATGGTGCATGGCGGTATGTTTCACCACACCCGGTCTCTACTTCGACGCCGCCTCTGTGGGCATCGCACTCTCTGCACGGTGCTGGCCGTTGTGCTCGCTTGCTCCTTGCACTACCTGCCCAGTGCGCGGCTGTCGCTTTAGTGTGTCTGCCCGTGCCCGATCACCTCGCCCTCGCTGCTTCTCCTCTCGCCTGTGCCGCGTCGGCTGCACTGCGCCTCCGCTTCCACCCTGCGCTCCGCTGCTGCCTGCTCCTCCACCCACGCTGCCCATGCCTGGGTATGCGCATGGCATTGACGATCCCTGTGGATCCCTGTCCCGTCTTCTCAGGGGCCGGCCGCGCGTGCTCTTAGTTCGCTCTCTGACCGACTTTCTCAGCCTCGTCGCTGCGCGTGAGGCCGCGACCGCCAAACAAAGTGTGCGTTAGGTGGTGTGTCTCGTTTTTTCCTCAGGCGCATGCGTCCAGACTCTTCGTGATATCGACACTTACGATGTTAGCCAGCGTGGACCCCAAGCCGTGGTTTCTAGCACAGTGTGTGTGATGCAATCTATGTGGTGCAAGCTGCATGGTGCACGCTCTGTGGTGTAAGGTAGTGCTTCTGTAGCTATGCAATGCAATTCGATTACAATGTAGTGCGATTGCGATGCAATGACGCAAAACAATGACGCAACGCAGCGCAAAATAACGCAAAGCAATGCCAAGCAACGTAAAGCAGGCGGCGACGAGGCGGTGGGCGGCGACGAGGCGGCCACATGGCGGCCAGAGCGGGCCGCAGGCCCACTTCCGTAGAAAAGAAGGAAGGAACCCCAAATGCAAGCACTGTTTTATGAATCATCTACGAAGCACTGCTATTTTGCAGCGCACCCGGACAGCCGCTGACAGGCCAGGAGGGCCCTCGGGCGGCGGTGAAAGGAGGCTGGCGCAAGACTTGGCGGAGGAGGAACGAGGATGGGGGAAGAGGATGGAGGCGCTGAGCGGCGGGCAGGAGAAATTGGCGAAAAACGGCGCGGGTCCTCAAGCTGACCCGCCTGTCACGGAAACACCAATCATCTCCAAACCACCACCCCGGCGAGGCCAGATCCTCTCATGCCGTGCCGTTTGCACGCTAGCTGGTCGCATAGCTAGTGTCCCGAGCAATACGTCCCTGCCGGGACAACGTCAGTGAGTGGTACGCCGATGCGCATGCCATTGGCCCCTCTGCAGTACTTGGATAAGCACTCCGAGCGATTAGGGAAGGCGCGCTAAAAAGCTTAAGGCGGCGGCTTCTAGCCAAGCTAGCAGCGAAACCAAGCGTGGGGACGCGAACACGAATTGCGCTGCGCCCGTGCTCGCTTCGCGAACAAGTCAGAAAGAAGCAAACACTAATCATCGATAGCCAAACTGAGCACCATATCTGCACTGCCGTCAAGGCCTCTGGGCGTCGCCGCGCGAGAAACATGGAAGCCTGCGTTATGTAATGTGTATCATGTATTGTGCCTTACGTGCTGTGTGCTAACATCTTGAGGGCAATCTTGCATGTTTCCCTGGCCCGTTTGGAAAG